TCTGTCTGCCTCTAAGCCTGCTGCGCCACACCTTAAATGTTAAATCTTTGCTTTTATCCTGTTTTCCCCTTTTCAGTGAACCAGTCGCTGTGCAATACTGTGCACATTCTTCTGCTAAACAATTAAAATTCTTCAGAGTCTGATCTAGAGAGTATTAAAGTAGTGTGATGGAGTAGGATTAATTTTCCCAGGCAATCAGACATCAGAGCAGGCTGCATGGAGGAGGTAACACTTAAATAGCACATGATAACAGGTTGAGGGAGCAGGAAAAGCTTTCTCTTGATGTCAAAAGATTTCAATTTGTCCTCTCTTGGCTGTGACACTAGGTGCTTGTTTTAAACTTTTCACGGCAAGCAGGACATTTTGATGAACTATGTGTTAGATGTCTCCCTTGCAAATGAAAGCTTACAGGGTGTGAAAAGAAAATAATAGGTGATATTTGAGGGAGTACTATAATAAGTTTTTCAGGACAAAAAAAATCACAGTGCATGTTTTGTATTACCAAGTCATGTGGTTGTGTAATTAGTGAAGTAGATAATATTAATAACGAGTATCATATAGAAGTTTATGTTTTCACAGCCATTATTTCCTTTAGGTGTTCAGATTTGGGGAGATTAAAATATGTGGAGACAGAATAACATAAAGTGTGGTTAAAAACATTCACTTTGAGTCCAGACTTCAGTGTTTGAGCCGCAGACCCATCACTGACTGTGTGGGCTCAGCTAGTAGGACCACACTTCCTTGATATCAGAAGAGATGACAGTAGCTTTCTCGCGGGCATGTTACTATAATTCAATGAATTGACAGACATCGACCATTCAGGACAGTCCCTGGAACTTAGTAAGCACTCAGTAAAAGTTAGCCAGTACTGCTGTCACCTTATCACCATCAGCACCATCATTTTTGGTTGCATAAATACAAAGGTGTGCTGACTTCTACTCCTGCTTTGTTTTCCAATGCACATCCAATCACTCCATCAGTGTAACTGTGAATTAAGTGAGGTTTGAGAATGTCATATGGGAGGCCTCTGACCCTTTTGTATTATTACATAGTGCATACATTAATTAAGAATGTCTTCTGCATTTTGGGACAGGTGTTTGGCTAAAGCAGACAAGCATTAGCAGTTCCAGAAAAGGTCACTCTAAACCTGTGTAAACAGAATAAGTACACGTGGTCATGGAAAATCTAAAATATCCAGTTAATTCAATCAGGAGAACTTGTGTATTTTAGTGTCAATGTTGATATAAACTGTAAGTGAAAAAAATTAACATTTCATATTATCTGGTTACTAATACTGATTTTATCACACTAACAGTGGACAGTCAGCTTCCCCAACCCATACCTGGTCCTCTAAGTAGCAGTTCACTGGGAAGTATCTTAAGCTGAGGTGTGAACATTTCTTCTGCAAACAAGGGGGCCTCCATTTATGGAAGAATTTTTCAACTTCAAAGTGTTGACGTTTGCATATTTATTTAAGTCTAAATAAATAGTGCTGTGAAGTAAAATGACAAAGATACAAGTAGAGTTTTTTTTTTTTACAAGTTGCTATGTGGTCTCTGATCAATTCATATATTTGAAAATCTATTGAGACATGGGCATTAGAGTCAAGACACTTTGCTTCATGTATCTTCTTAGGATTCATAGGATCAGCTATCGGGTTTTCTTGGGATTTTCCCCCTCCAAGCAGTTGAGACTAGGAGGGTTTGATCAGACCAAGGACAGAATATTCTTAAGATTATGAATTGATCAAGAAGTGGTTTCACTTCATCTCCTTAGTCTACAGTATGAGTCCTTTTGAGCATGTCCTGGGCTCAGTTTTGAGGACTCTCCCATAAGGGGGAGGGTCCAGACTGGTCCAAAAAGTCACTGTGACACTTCAGAGCAGTGTCCTGAAAACATGTATACCAGAGCATGGCTTCTGTATCTGTGACCAAGAAGGACATTTTGACCCATTGTCACTTGGAGTTCAGGCTTCTTCTGGAGCAATTAATTGTGCTAAAGACAATATTCCATTTCCTTAGGTAGAATTTTAGGGTACAGCCTCTTCCTCTTCCCCTACTACATTCTTTATATCACCCCACTCTCCAATTTATATGCTTTATATCCTCAAGACTGCAGCTGCATTTTATCTCTAGCCCAGGCAAGACTAAATTGAAATTCAAAAGTTCTAGAGGAAAAAGAAAATATAATTTAAAGCTCTAAACTGTAAATGCCTTTAAAAGTCTTTGGCAAATTTGTCTTTTCTACCTCAATGCACCGTAATGTTAATAAAAGTAATGGACAGTTAGTTATATGCAAATTTTACTCCCATTGTAAAGTAATTAAGAGCTGTCCTATAATTTAAACCTTTTTCACATTTTCATATATCTGTTCTCTCCAAAATTGGAATAAATAAATGATTTTGATTTGAGGCCTTGTGAGCAATGGAAAAAGTCATTGTAAAATCTGCATGAAGTTGGCATAGTTTGGCTGTCATCCTGTTTTGTCCTTGCCATGTCAGGTTGTAATATTATGATTTATTGCTCATTGTTGCAATTACCATTGTCAGAGTACATCTAGGGTTTAGTGCTTGAGATGTGGGAACAAAGTAATGAGATAGAGAACCTTGGTTTGTTTTCATTGAGTATTGATCAAATAACACGACTTACTCTATAAAAGATGAGCAGACTTGATTATTCAATGATAAATTTTTAGGGGAAAATCAATAATATTTTAATATGACTTATTTTGAAAAGTGGCATTACACTGTCTCTGAAAATCCTGAATAAACAGCATTTGTAGGTTTCTGGGGATAACTGTATGACTCTATCCAGAATATACAAAATTATTTAACTTGCTAACTATGTACTCAAGAAAGTTCATCAGAACAAATTCACACATTCTCCTTGAAAGGCAAATAATTTAGGCATTGCAACTATTTTTCCTTTATAAATTAAATTGAACTATGTGAAGATTCTATTTTATTTCATTTTGTTGACTTTCCAAAATCCGCACATTGTCGTTGAATTTGTGTTAACCTTTGTTGCCCCTGATATGCACTATCGCAAGGAGGAGTGTGGCCAGTGCAGGTCATTGTGCACAGAAAGAAGCAGGAAAGCCAGCCACAATGGGAAGCTGCTCATTTACCTGACAATTCAGGTAAAATGGTGACCACTAGCCTCTAAGAGCCCTTGCACTTCACCATAGCTCACTCTCTTCCATTGAGGTGTGACCTTCAACAAGGACCAAGGATAAAGCCCTTGGCTAAAATTCATCACAGCCTGCCCAGTACTGACCTTTTCCTCCTCCTCTTTGTGGTCAGTCTTCATGTGTAAGTACCCAGCAGAGTCCCCTCCTTTGCCTTCAACAACTCTTTACCTACCCATCACCTGAGCCCGAGAGACCACTCTTGACTCTGCTGTATTCTGCAGCTTCCGCTGCAGCAAAGGGTACAATATGCTCCTGGCATCCAGAATGCATCTCTCCACAGAGGCATTGAGTGTTTGGCGATTAAGCTTATAATATCACCAGTACAGATTAAATTACATTTTTGCAGGCTACTAGAAACTTAACCATCTGGTATATACTGTTTTCTTGGGAACATCTGATTATATATAAGAATATATATATATATATATATATGAATTGTAATCATACTTTTGTTATGCCCTTTATGATGAAGTGAGGGCTGCATGAAAACACTTTTATTTCCTTGTTTTATTTTTCAGAAACTCTACTGTTTCCAAAATACCAAGTATTAACTGTATTAGTTAATTTCTTCATCATTCACTATCCAGTAATTTTTTAAAGTTTCCTCATGTTGTTCAGAAGTTCCATCAGAGAATCAGAGGGCAGGGAAAGGTCTTAAATGGCAAAGCTCATGTGAACTGAGAAGGTACATTATTTTTATGCAGAAGTGGTCCATGTCATGTTACATCTGAATGTCATGTGAAATATGAAGCTATTTTTAATTCTTGAAATAAGGAACTCAAAATTTCTCACACTAGAAATGTTGTCTAAAAAGCCGAAGGAGTGTACCAAGGAGGGTTTACTGAATACACTGTAATCTGTGTGTACATTCTTAGCCCATTATGAAAAAAGTGGCTTTGTATCATGATAGTAAGAAATATTAGAAAACTTGTAATGCCTAGTTTTTACCCTTCAACACAGCCGCCTCATCCCAGCTACCCCTCAAACACACAAAATAGAAACTTGCAAGTACATTTTCTCTCCTCTATGAAATTTGACTATTAAAATTTTGCCTAGAAAGAAAATGAACAAACTCTTGTAACAATTCCATCTAAATACAACACAAGAAAACACAAATTCATATGAAAAGTGTAATCTAATTATAAGGCCAGGACCTGATCTTCATGTCTTTACCTCTTTTCATATAGGATATTAGGGGCACCAAATTTAACACTGTATCTTCTCTTTGTTCTCCTACTGAGCATTGCTGTGGTGGCAAAGAGAACTAGTCACCAGGGACCATATGAGATCAGGATGAATTCTACATTGTATGAATAGCTATTAATATTTTAAACACTGTCTATCCTTCTGGCACTGATGTATTACATCACCATTTATACAATAGAATTTGTCACTGATTGGAAGGTTTCAAGTGTTTTAGAATCCCCATCATGAAGAGGGAGATATGATTATATTAACACAATTAACATGTACAAAAAGGTAGACTTTTTACATTATTTCAAATGTTTCTGATTTGTCTGATCCAAAAATAACTACTTGATTAACTAATTTGTCTCATAAGAAATGTCTCTATGTAGGTCAGGATGAGGTCATTTGAAAAATCTACTCCTTTGAGAACTTTTAAACCAGAAAAAAAATCTCATTTGAGAGTTGGGCTCAAATTATATGGTCATTTTAGCTCTCAGAATTCAGTGCATAGATGGCTGGAATCGTGTGCGTGTGATAATTCTGAGCTACTTTCAATAAATAATACATGTCATTTCTGCTTCACTGAGACTGTCACTGACTGCTGTAAATGACTTTCATCACAGGGCCCAGCCTGCTCTCCCAGAGTGCACTTCAGCTCAATTCCAAACCTGAAGGGTCTTTCCAGTATCCGGCCAGCTACCATAGCAACCAGACCCTGGCCCTGGGTGACACAGCCCCTTCGCAGCTCCCAGGTCGCAGCACTCAGGCCAGAGCTGCAGGCCAGAGCTTCAGTCAGGTATGTGCCTTTTGCTGTATTGTGTTGGTGGGCTCACGGGGAGCAGGTGGGGAGCAAGAGTGTGGAAGGACATGGTGACCTGCCTACTTTTCTGTGTGCACATCCTACAATTCACAGAAGATCCTCTTCAGCTGTGAGTGAAGGAAAGGAATAATAAATATATACATTTGTAGAGTAACACTGGACAGAAAACAGATTTTCTTTAGGAATATCTGTGAGCTACTCCTACTTCATGAATGTGCAAATGGGAGTCTGGTTACTGTATCTGTGTCTATGTATGATGTAAGTATGATATGCATTCTGAATTTGTAAATGTTCTTCAAAAAAAATGCTATTTTTTTTCCTCCTAAAATTTATTCTTTGGTGTTAATCCTATCAAGGCACATAGTGTGAATGTGTAATCAAGTATACAGAACTGTTCTGTAGATAATTGTAATTAGTTTAGGAATAGTTTGTCAAGTCTGACTTTGAAATGTTCCTGTAATTGTTTCTTTAAGGCTTGTGATTTTTCTTATAGTTTCACTGCACAAATTCATTAGCTGTGCTTAATAGCAACTCTTGGTTAAAAAAAAAAGCTAATACTAAAACACACACATACACACACCATACACACACACACACACACATACACACACATATTTGTTTTTATGATATTGGGTGTATGGTATATTCAGTCAATCTACCAGAGTTAATATATTGGAGGGCTATCTTGTTTAATGCAATTATAAACTTCTTTTCAGTGGCACAGGCACTTTTAATCTGTGTTTTTATTCCTGGAATGGTGGAACAGCAGCCCAAGTCACCCTTTTAGGTGGAGAGCTTAGTTTCATTTTTTATGCATTTACTGAGCACTACCTCTGCCAGGAACCCTTCCCCGGCCCCGCTACTTGCAACTGGTGTCTGTAATCCTCAAGCCCACCCCGATCACTAGTTTCTTGTTATTCACCCATGTTTTTCCAACAAAACTGAAAGCTGCATGAGGGCAGGATCTTTCTCATATTTTTTATCAGTAGCTTAGCAGTCTACCTGGCTCCAAAAAAATGTGTGCAGAGTGGCAAGGACAGGGAAAATTAGAATGGTCTAGTGCAGCCACTGTGATATGCTTCTTTATGTGACATCAGTGTCATTGAAGCATGGGCTGAAAAGTTTCATTGCACTGCAGTTATTGAAGTTAAATCATTGCCTTAGTAGTGCTTTAAAAATACATGACTGCCTTCTTCAAGCAACACCCTTGTCCACTAGTGGCTTTGTGATTTTTACCTTCTTGTGATGCTGAGTTATAGGAAAGTGGATGAGAGGGCATAACAACACATTCGTTGTGATAAAGGGCCTTTCCCTCTGATTAAAGTTTAATCAGAAAGTTACTAAGTTGTACAGATATCAAAGCTATGTACTTGGAGTCATAAGAGTCAAAGTTTGAAGACATCAATGAATGCAAATGGTTAAGGGTTTGACTTACAGTTTGAGGAAAATGTTGCTAAAGTACTCACCTAGTGGCTGGGTGGAACAAACAAGTCTGAATTCAAACCAGTAGCTGAAGTGTGGCTCTGATGCACTCAACTAGCAGAACCAAGACTGCTGCTGAATATCTGAACTCTCCAGCTCAGCGGTTGTTGGTTATTGTACCTTGATCAATGGCAGCTGTTGGCAGCATGTTTTATTGACTATCCTATAGGACCTATGACTTCAAAGTCATAGTAGAAAGTTGTTGCAGCAGTAGCCAGCACTTCTACTCTATAGCTATCGATACACCCCTGGAAGTCAGGAGACCAACGCCTCATTCCAATACCATCTCTGCTGTTCAGATCATCAAGTAGATTGTCAAATCCTCAATGAACCTTCTTGTCAGTATTCTGAATGGTGTTAAACATCACCTTTAAGGCTAGATTGATTTTTAGAATATCCTGAAGGGAATAAAGTGGTATAAGAACCAGTAAGATCAAATTATGGCTGACCAAGGCCATGCCAAGTAAGCAAGGTCCATAATCAATCAACAGAAAATATTTACTTTTTTCTAAAACCTGTGATTATAAAGTAAAGCAAATCATGTCTATCAGGCTCACAAATTGTGTCTGATTACAGTTATAAAGGAGTGTTATAGATGTTTAAGATTTTAATTTCAATTTAAAAAAAACCCTAGTTTTAGACAGGTCCTAGTGGCTCCAGCCTGTAATCCTAGCTTCTTTGGAGGCTGATATCAGGAGGACTGCAGTTCCAAGCCAACCCAGGAAAAATTGTTGTGAGACACCATCTCAATGAGAAAAAGCTGGGCACGGTAGTTCATGCCTGCCATCGCAGTGTCTGCAGGAACTTTAAAACAGGAGGATTGTGGTACAGGTTGGCCTGGGCAAAATGTGAGACCCTATCACCAAAATAACCAGAGCAAAAAGATCTGGAAGCTTGCTTGGCTCAAGTGGTAAAGTGCCTGCCTAGCAAGCGTGAAGCCCTGAGTTCAAACACCAGTACCATAAAAAATAAAACAACACAAAAACCTCTAGGTTATCCAAAATAATAATTTTTTCATCAAGTGACCAGTACCAAGTTGCTGATAAGCCCTGGTAATGCATAAATAACCTGCGTTGCCTCACTGCTGCAGCCCCAGAGTAGAACTAAAAGTCACAAAAATTGCTATCAAGGTCTCTGGTGTTACTCCCAAGTAAAATCTTTAAAAGTCCTCTTCAGATTCTAAAGTGAATTCAAGAAGCTGGGTTAGAGGAGAGCAAGTGTACAACCTTTGCCACAGACCTCAAAGCTTTTCCTGGAGGTGACATGAGCTGACTTATAGTTAGTTATCCTTTTCCCTACCTCAGGCACTCTGCTGGTCCAAGCTGCATGCTCCCATCAGAGAGGGAGCAGGGTGTATAGATGACTGTTCATCCCTCACTTCTTCTACCACATTAACCTTGCCCTTGGTATTGGCTCCTGTGAAGGTACCCAGTCAAAATACAGCTGATCTTCTGGTTACTTTTTACATCTCTTGTTATTCTTTGATGTATTCAAGATGCTTATTGAGTGCCATTGGTGTCATGAGCCTGTGTGCTTGAGATATAGCAGTAGAGAAAACAGACTTGATCCCTGTCCTCAAGGACCTTATATCAAGCAGCAGGGATAGGGGCTCGGAAAATCAACACTGACTAAATTGTATAGTATATTAGGTGATGGTTCTGTGTGAAGGAAATGGACACATAATAAGGTTAAGTGATAGGTAAGGAGAACAATGGGGCATAATACAAATGAGACTTCACAGAGGAGACATTTGGGCAAAGACATGAGGGAGAGGAGTGAGCTGTATGGCTTAGTGGAGTCTGGCAAGAGCAATGGCCCCTACCCATGGGTAGACTCGCATGTTGACAGAACGAGCAGGAGGCTAGGGGGACAGAGGATGGTACAGCAGTTTGTAATGTGCTGGGAGACCTAGGTGATCATTGTTAGGGATTCATCTTTCCACAGAGAGAGGTGAGAAGCTGGTAAGAATTTTCAGCAAAACATGACCTGCCTCATGTGTTAAAAGCATCGTTCTGTCATACCATATGTCATAGCCTAGAGTCAGTTGCATAGGTTTCCTCAGTACAAGGGCCAGAACCATGCAAAATTAATCTCTGTATCCCTCTTAATTGATGCAGGGTTCACAAAGTATCCAACAGGCTCCTCCAACACCAGCCGAGACTCTTTGTAATTATACTGCACGGGCTTGCAGGTGGGTTAGAGGATAAAGTTCTCCCCCAGGTTTTACCTGCTTTCACACATGCGAAATTTCTTACGATTATATGAAATGCCAAATATACAACCTCTGACAGAGTGCTTCCTTCCATACCAGGTCTAAGCCTAGTTTCATCCAGCAGCTCGTCCCTCAAAGAAACAAAATATATAAGACATAGGACATCTGTAATATCTGTAGACACAATACTGGAAGAGAAGTACAGTAGCTTAAAGGTTTGAAAGTAGTTTCTGTTTTAAACTCCAGAGAACTGACGTATGTGTACGATGATAATCCTAGGGAATGGCCTGCTAGCTGCAGGAAATTGAGAATGGCATGATTGTTCTCTAAAATGAAACTACACAATAGTGGATATTCTGGAAAAGCAATAAGCTTTTTGAGAGGTGAAATTGCCAATTCTTTTTGATCTGGCCTATCTATTTAATGTTGCACTGCTTTTATGTCTTAAAAGCCCTTGTTTATGCTATATCATAATTATAAATACACCATCTGCTCACTTTTGCTAGAGGCTGATGTGCTTATTGTTGGAACACTGGATGGAACCTTGCTTGTTGGCGCAGGCTTCCATCAGGTAGATGTGAAAGACAAGGGGACCAGGAGCTCTGTGGACGGCAGTGGGGCAGACCGCCAAGCCCTCCATGGTACAGAGAGGAGCCAGTTCCCAATTATATTGATCTCTGTTGCATTGATCCCTGCTGCACTGATCAATACTGATTCATCATTCCCTAGTGTATTGATCATGGAATGGAAAAGGCTATAATGACAACGACAGTGACACCACTTCAGTTTGCTTAATTATGAAAGAAGTTGTCTTCAGGCTAATACTGTCAAGAGAAAAGTCACCAGCAAACTTAGAAAACACAACTGCAGAGATAAATTCAGTATAGAATTCATACACCATGCAGCATTTAGAGGAGAAATCATGTCGTTTTATGTGTTTTCCTTGCCATATTTGTGGGAAACTGGCAGGATAATTTTTCAGACAGTTTTAAGATGATTACTTATTGTAAATCCTTATGTCTTGCTTTGCTTTAAAATCTTCTCCCTCCATTTTCTCTTTCCAATATAAGCATATTGAATCTGGCTTCAACAAAAAGAATTTCTCATTGCAGAGAAATGTGCTTGGGTTTTACAGTGTTTCCTCTTCTATGCAAATATTTAGATGGTTGAAATTATGCTAAGTGACCCCTTGCAGAAATAAAAGTTTTATGTAGTGTATTGTTATCAGTCTCATGTAGGTTTTAAGAGTTGTCAACAAGAAATCCCTCCTAGCCAGGTGCCTGTGGTTCACACCTATAATCCTAGCTACTCTGGAGCCAGAGATCAGGAGTATCGCCATTGGAAGACATCCCAGGCAAATAGTTCATGAGACCCTATCTCAAGATGCCCAATACAAAACAGGGCTGGAGGAGAGGCTCAAGTGGTAGAGTGCCTGCCTAGCAAGCATGAGGCCCACAGTTTAAACACCAGCACTGCCAAAAGAAAAAAGAAATTCCTCCTGAAGGTATGGTTCCACAGGCCTGTAATCTCAGCCACTAGGCAAGAGGCTCTTGAATTCAAGACCACATCAAGCAAAGTTCCTGTTAGTAAGACCCTATCTCAAAAACAAAAGAAAAATAAAAGCACTGCGGGTGTAGGTCAAGTGGTATAACAAAGGGTAGAGCCAAAAAAATAAAAGGAAAGAAAGGAGGAAAACAAGATTCCTCTGCATTCTTTAAGATAAATGTCACTGCTTTATGTTTTTTTCACTAATTTTCTTCCCACTGGGATATTACAGAAATGGCTATATATAAAATAATATACAGAATACTTAATGACCTAATCAAACTTTTATTAAAGAAAACTAAAAATCAGTACCCAAAGATGCAAAACTATACCACTCAGAGGACTTGGGAAAATGAATATACTGCCACTTCCTCACTTCAAGGGCAAGAGCAATATAATTTGCAAGATATTCTCTCTCTCTCTCTCTCTCTCTCTCTCTCTCTCTCTCTCTCTCTCCTCCCTCCCTCCCTCTTTTTTCCCCTCTCCCCTTCCCCATATTTTAGGAGGACCTTTGCACAAAAAGGAAGCAGTTAGGGTGGTCTCTGTTGTTAGCCACACGGTGGTGGTAGTTGGTCTTATGGTCCTTTAATTGAGATGTGGACATCTGAGGAAAGGAGTTGCTTCCTGGAGCCTGTTTTTCAGTGACATATTTAATTTGCTCTGGGTGCCACCTTTCAGTATCAGTGGGATGTCACCAGCAGGTAAGCCCAGCCCTTCTTTCCTCACTGCTAGGCAGGATCTTCTCTTTAAGTCTTTTCTTCAGAAATTAGTTTTTACCAATACCAGAACCCCTCATGAGAATCACTAGACAAGCACTTGATGATGTTTTTTTTACTCCAAAATCAAATCTTTCTCACGGAACCAAGATTTTCTTCCTTTGGAATTAAATTGTCTGAAGACAATTGAAAAACAAAAGCCTCAGAATCTTGTAGACCATGGTAGGTGTACTAAAGGAAATTCATTATGTCCCAGGAAATAAGTTCAGGAGACATGACTAATTTGAGAATGTAGATTGGTTTTAATAGCAACCTTTTATATATTGCCTAAATATGATTGCATTTTGGAGTAGGTAATTTCTTCTCGTTTCAAAGTTGTGAGGGTGAATGTCCAGATTTGCGCAATCCTAATCTCTAGACAAACTTCTAAGAAAGTGGGGTGATTTCTCAGAAGTTTTCATTAGCAGCACGGAGATAATATCACAAAATCTTGTTACTGAATTGTGTGGTTAGAAATGTGTGTCTTCAAAGATGTCTTCATCATGTTTTGTCTTTCATCATGGCCTCCTCCACTCTCTTTCTCACACTCTGCCACCACTTCTGTGTTGAGATGACTCCCTCAAATTCCAGCCTGACCCCAGTTCAGGACCACCTTCCTGTGACTCTTCTGAGGCCCTGGCCCTGTAAGCGATGCCTTCCTTGGAAATACGCTGCCCAGCTTTTCCTCTCATGACCCTGGTCTTGCCCAGAAGCACCACTGGCAGCAGGGACCTTGGTCACCGGCCAGTGGATTTTCAAAGTGGAACATTATTAGTGATAGGTTTGCCCATCTGTTGTAACCACAGGAAAAGGGGAAGGATGAATGCAGAAAATGAGGGAGCAGACTGCTGATCATGAGTCATTAAATTCACCTTCGGGAAGCCACCAACGATGGGCTCAAGTTCTCCATTCCTGACATCATTGGCCTGGCTGCCCAGCAATCTGGACAAATATCCCTTTTGTTCCAGAGCTGAGGGCCTTGCTAACTATTTAGGAAACTTGGCAGGTCTAAATGTGTCTTCCTTAGGAGTGCCCATATATCAGAGACCTGGTATAAGTCATAGTCTTGCTCAGTGACATGGCTTACTCATGACTAAAGTCAAGACTCCTTAGAGACTGCTGGCAGTCAATTCTCTTGTTCACTGGCTGCAAGCACCGGTGATTCTTCTCCTTCTTCTTTTTGCTTTGTTTTGTTCTGTTTGTACTGCAAGATCTCCAAAGAATTAGGATTAAATAAGTTCCCAGGCTCTGAAAATGTTCCCCTTATGACCTCTCTGCCATCCCTGTTCCCTTAGTAGAAGATACAGTTTAGAGATCAAGAAGCAACTGTGTTTACCTTTGAGGCTGAGCCACTTTCTAGTCTAAGAGCAGCATATTCTCAGGGGCTCCTTCTTCCCCAAAAGAACAGAGTCATATTTGTGAACCAGAGTATGCTATACAAACAAACACACAACAATGATAGAGCTTCAAAGTAACATCAAAGCCAAGTACTCCATCTAAGAGAACTGCTGAGTGCTGTTCAAGAGTCCAGGCCTCATTTGTACATGGAAAACAGTGGGCTCTTGTCTGTGGTCATGGAGTTAGTGAATGAATTGATGCATGGAGCTTGGGCTCTGTTAGTTAATGACTATTGGGAATAATGTATATGTTACCCAACTTGCATTCCAGTTGTCTTTCTATCACACTTGGAAAATACATCATTCCCTCAAACAGTTCTATAAAATAGATATAAATGCATTCCACAATTACACAGGCGGCTCCAATGTACCACAGAGTACCACACACCTACAAATACACATACACAGAGGATATGCAAATAACAACTGAAGTATATCCCAAGTCTGATCCACTGGAAACCTAAATAATTACTAATAAATATTTAATTTATAGGGACTTTGATGAATTAGTGTCTTGATGACTTCCCCACAATAGCAATAAAAAACAAAACTACTACATTAAATCTGCATCAAATTTCTCCTGTGGGAAACTGTCCAATCAGAGCACCGATTTGACAGGGTTGCTTATCTATCCTTTGTCAATTCCAGGAGGTAGATCCTCATTTTGAAGGGGCAGAAAAGATAAAGTAGTCTTTGAGAATAATCTAAACAGAAAGTAATTTGTTCTATGACTAGCCTCCAAAAATTGGAACAAGTGACCCAAAACTCAATTCGTCTAATGGTAGATACTAGAGGATGATGGCTATGATAGCTTATGTGTTGACAGAGGACTCCGCAAAGTCACGGGTGTAACCATAGATTTTTTTTATACATTCCATGGCAATTTTAACATGCAGTTAGGTTCAAGAAACCCAGTTGTACATTTCATGCTCAGAATTCCTGCTGGGAGAGCAGCTCTGGGTGATGGTTGACCATTTCACTGAGTTGAGGGAGATGTGAATTCTGTGGAGCTTGTCTGCAGTCCTTCACACATAGAAACTCTATTGAGAGTTTTGCCAAAGCCCTTGGGCCAGCTTTGTTAACTCCTTCTGTCATTCCACACATATTCCTGCGCTCTCTTCTACAAATCAAGTCCTGCTTGCTGGAGACGTCACTGAGCAAAATCATGGAGCTTAGACTTTACTCTTAGTCCCACTGCTAATCTCAAAATAAGTATGGTTTTGATTGAGATACATAATGTATTTGTGAAAGCAAATTAAATATACAAATCAGACATTTATATGTGTAACATTAATAAACACATACACACACCTTGAAGAAGGACTGTCTCTCAATAAAGGGTTTATCTCCCTTGGTTTATTTTCCAAACTGTTCTTAGTAGAGGATTTTGATGTTGCTTGATTAACTTTGGCTCTTCACACGAACTCGACTTCCCAGAGACAATCTGGAATGCTGTTTGTGTGTAGATGAAGGTGCCAGCCTATCACTTGCCCCAAAAGCACTGGAGAAGAATTTGAAAGTTTTAATGGAGAGCATCGCTCCTAGTCTCTGCTGTTCCCCATAGCTCCCCACTCTCCTCCTCACCTAACCTGCGTGCTTCATTTCAAAACCTTGCCTCCAAGCTTCTCTCTCCCTCTGTGTACAAAACTATCCCCTTTTCACACCAGTGGCTCTCAAAAACCTTTCTGCTCCTCCAGGAAAGCCTAAAGACCAGAAACCTCCTGCCCAGAAGTGGTTGACAATGTAGTGTTGTCATTCGAATGCAAATTTGTCTCTGGACCTGATTCAAGGAAAGTGCTTTCCCCTCCAACTGTCTTTCCAGCTCCACCCCAGCCCTTGTTGTCTTTTGTGTTCTTCTAAATAAATGAGAGCAACTGGCTTTCAGTTGGAAGACACAGCTGCAGGGGGCTCTTAAAAGCTAGCTAGAGAGAGAGAGGACCCATGCTGAAAGATTTGGAGCCCAGTGTTAAAATCTAGAAAAGGGAGGCTTTTTCATTAACAATTGCTCTGATTTCTCTAGAATTAAAAAGAACATATACTGAATAACCAGGTTTATTCCTCTGACAAAACATTTCCCCCTGCTTAACTCTTCTTGTCCAAAAAGAAGAGTGCAGGCAAAAAAAGCACCAGAATAAATTCTAAGAAGTGTGCTTATTCTTGAGAGCTAAGTATGCAACTTGGCTACTTTGGGAGGTTGAAAGTGTATCCAGTGAAATGACTGGATGCTCAATGCCTGTATTTTTTTTTTCGTCATCAAAACTAACAGATCAAGAGTGTATTCAAGGAGATCATAATTGCCCTGTTGGGTAGCCTTAAAAAAAAAAATCGTGTGACTAATGAGATGTCGCCCGAGACATCTGAGAACTCTTAATCAGATACATGCCACTCTCCTGTGCTAGTCGGTTTTTCTTTCTACTGGGAAAGGAACCTGCCTGGGAAGCTTGAGGGGCGTGGGTTCGCGTCTCAACCCAAGCGCAGCTGCTGGGGCCGGGCGAGCGGGTTGCTTCTCCTGGCTAAGCGCGCGTGTTCTCTCCTCTCCCGGGCACAGGGCACGACGAGCCGCGCCGGCCACCTGGCGGGGCCGGAGGCCGCGCCACCGCCGCCACCGCCGCGGGAGCCGTTCGCGCCCAGCCTGGGCAGCGCCTTCCACCTGCCGGACGCGCCGCCCGCCGCCGCCGCCGCCGCCGCGCTCTACTACTCCAGCTCCACGCTGCCCGCGCCGCCGCGCGGGGGCTCCCCGCTGACCGCACCGCAGGGCGGCTCGCCCACCAAGCTGCAGCGCGGGGGCTCGGCCCCCGAGGGCGCCGCCTACGCCGCGCCGCGCGGCTCCTCGCCCAAGCAGTCGCCCAGCCGCCTGGCCAAGTCCTACAGCACCAGCTCGCCCATCAACATCGTCGTGTCCTCGGCCGGCCTGTCCCCGATCCGCGTGACCTCGCCCCCCACCGTGCAGTCCACCATCTCCTCCTCGCCCATCCACCAGCTGAGCTCCACCATCGGCACCTACGCCACCCTGTCGCCCACCAAGCGCCTGGTCCACGCGTCCGAGCAGTACAGCAAGCACTCGCAAGAGCTGTATGCCACGGCTACCCTCCAGAGGCCGGGCAGCCTGGCAGGTAAAGGGGTTGCTGCCACCTGGCACCTGGCGCGGCTCACCTGGGGCGCGTGGTGGGGGGGAACCTGGCAGGCTCGATCCGAGCGCACAGGGCTAAGCAAAAGCAAGCTGGGTGTGTCTTTGACCCGGGTTTCAGTAGTTGAAGGAAGGAGAGAGCCAGGGCTTCCCTGTAATGACTGCCAGTGTCTTTCCTCACATGTGTCTATCAGTTATTGCTCTCGGGGAGTCATGTGGTCTCTCAACTTCCAACAATCGCCCTTAGCTTTTCTCTCTCCAGTCTGAAGACTAAACTATAAAAGTCAAGGGAAATTTAGCACAGAATCAAATAGATCTGTTGCTTTTTTCCCAAAAAAAAAACAAGTAACACTGCGTTTATATGATCATTTTTAGGTGCCACATCTAAGCTGTCAGAGAAAGTTAGGGATTTTTCTCACATCAGACATTTGATTGACATAGATTTCGACAGCAATGGAAAAGTAACTAATAGTGAAGTCCTTGAATTTGTTTCCGTCTTTATTACAGTGAAGGAGGGGCTGGGCTAGGGGAAAAGAAACCTGTTTTTCTGTGCCTGCCAATTGAGAGTAGGTGACATTTCTTTGGTGGTTGTAACCATCAAAGACCAGGCTGAGCTGGTAGATCTCTGCGGTTAGCACCATATGCTCAGCTTAAACAAGGCACCGTGACTGAAAGACTAATGCTGTCTCCTAAAACACCTGACAAGTAATGGGAATTTATTGCCTATTTTTCTTCTTATAGAAGTATTTGATAATTGTGTCACTCTGGTAACAGATGCTGTGCTCATATGTTTCCTTTCTTGACACAAATAGACGACTGTGAAGATAAATAGGATAAAAAGGAACTTATTGCAGACACGAGGCAGGTGGCCAAGGGTTTCTTTGTAATTGCCAGCATGGACCAGTCTGACTTGACAGGATCCAGGCTGGGATTTGCTGCCTACTAAATTATACCAGGTACATTTACTGGCCTGAAAATAACCTTCCTCCCTCATTGCCTCTCCCTGCAGAATAGAATTTTAGAGGTAGACAATGAGTAATGCCAGCCTAGTGCTAGGACAAAATATCTATAACGTAGGGACTGAGAACTAACAATCTGTTTGGAAAAGACCCCAAAACTTTGTTTATATAAACTACAAGATTATGTCAGCAAGGGGTAGGGGGGCATGGAAGCAGTGCCACTGTGAGAGACTAAAGCCCCACGGTATCCTCTCAGCCACTCCAGACACCACAGAGAAGAGGAAACAGGCTCACAGAACTTAGGTGACATCAGGAGTTACGTGTGGTACATCTGTGCATGTTCCACTATCACTTCAGTTAAATAGGGAGTGTGGCCACATGGTTGAATATAATGGGTGAAGGGAAGAAGGTATAGGGAAGGAATTTAAAAGTAAACTGCATTGTGAAAATAGCTTGCGCTCTAATGTGTGCAATGAGTGTCTCAAAAGGTTTAGGTTCTGTGTGTGCATGTGTGCACGTGGTGGGGGCGGGGCTTGGTTAGGAGTAAGGAAACTTCTCTGGCCAAAAAGAGAACTCCAGGTGACCAGCACACTCCCCTATCCCTTCCCTTCCCTTCCCATTTCTATCTGTTCCTCAGATTTTCTAACCATTTTTCTCATTTCTGCTACGTGGTGAGAAAACAATCAATACTATTAATTTTAGAGGTACAATGGATGTTTGGGTTCATTTTTTAACATGCATGTTCATAAGAATTCATATAAAGATTTTGTCATGCAGATTGTTGCTGGTGCTTTTGAGTTTGAAATTACCCTGTAATGATGTATAAACACTTGGCTTGCATAAGATTACATGTCCCATTTAGAAAGCAGCAAGTGATGGCCCACCCAGGAGAGAGATGAGGGATAGACTCTGGTGTTTGTGAGATCAGGAATTCCAGAATGTTCATGCTCCATGCCTGATTCTGTGTGCTTGACACCATTCCAGGCATCCCAAAGTTTGGAGCCAAGTTTGTGCTAGTTGAAAGAGCACAATTATGTCAAGATTGAAAAATAGCTTTTGGACTTGTAGAGTTGTAATTTGGAAGATCTGACACTGACAACTGAAGAGTGTGAATACAGGGTAGATAGTGACTTTTCACTATGCATTCATTTTCAGTTATTTGGTACGTATCTTTTATATACTACCACTCATTTAGACCCTGAAGATGCAATGGCGTAAGCAAAATCCCTGGCCTTGTTTCAAATAGAGAAGACAGAAAACAATCAAAATAATTTCAATAGGGCAGCAAGGGAAGACTTTAATTAGAAGTTAATGTTTGAGTCATTCCTAAGGAGGTAAGCTAGATGGCTCTATGGATATCTGAGGAAAGAGTATTCTGAACAACAGAAAAAGGGCTAATAAAAGGAAGTATATATCTGATATGTTTGCAGAACAGCAAGGAGTCCAGGGGCAAAGATAAGACCATGAAGCAATTTCAGTGGAAGGCAAGACTGGGAAGGTCTTGATGGAGACTTAGGGATAATGGCTTTGTTCATTGAGGACAGTCATTGAGAACTGGGAAGCAGAATGACGTAATCAGACTTCATTTGTAACAGGTTTACTCTGGCTTTTGTGTTGAGAATGGACTTCAGGGATCAAAGGCAAGAGCAAGAATGTAAGTTGGGAGATGGTGCAATAATCTAAGCAAGAAGTGATTAGGCCTTGAGTCAAGGAGGTGATGAAAAGTAGCGGAATTCTAGATGTATGTATATGATAGAGCCCACAGAATTTTCTAATGCTCTCTCAGTAGTTTTCTTTTCCTTTTTAATAGTTTCTCTTTTCATTGTACAGCAGTGCTGAGTGGAAGGCATCTCTGCCTTGTTGGAACTCCCAATATCACAAGTGTCACCTACCTACTTGGCTCTTACAGGAGTAGAGGTTACAATAGCATCTACTCTTATCATTTTAGACATAAATAAGGTAATGTTTATAAAGTACTTGCACCTTTCCTGGCTCAATGAAAGTTAATTCATACCATACAACCTTGAATGTTGGGAAGAAGTCATGTGTTTTTGCTTTACAAACAAAACAGCTTTGCTGAATTAGAAAATATGCCATTTTCTGGGTTGGGCATACAAAGATGACAGCGGCATGATCTCTGTGTTAAAGACCTAGTTTTGATTTTAAACCCAGGTGGAATGAGGTAGAGGTTAGTAACGATGAGAGCATCAATGAGGGGCATCCTATTGAAATCCCATGTGTACTCAGCATGCTTTCTTCAGGAGGTTTTAAGCACTCAGCAATAATGAAGGAGAGAAATGTATCTGGAACAACTTCAGAAAGTAAGTGTTTGAGTATTTGGGGGACAGAAGAGAGATGACCAACAGTTCAGAGTTTCTCCAGCAAAGATGAGTGGCAGGGAGTGGGGAGGGACAAAAGTACCAGGTAGTAGTCCCCACAGTAAAGGGCTTGTAGAGTCATCAGCCAGTGGCTCCCCACCATGATCATATGGGCATGTCAGAAACTGTTCTGGGATGTGAGGAGGATGGATATACCAAGAAAAAATGAGCAGGGAAACTGAAAGCCATAGATGCAGTCCTTCTCTCTTCCCAGATGCAGTTATTAAAACTCTCCCGCTTGCTTTAAAGTGGAAGAACTCAACAGTGGAAATTGAGGTTGAATAAATGATATATTCTATTTTTCACGATGTTCTCCAGACTATCAGGCTGCTTTATTTCACTTTTTATAAAGAGTTAAATTTCTCATTTTAATTTATGAATATATTAAATACTAATGATGCATAAAATTATTTTTAAAAGCATATCGTGCTATAAAACATTTGCTATATGCCAGCCACTGTGCCAGACACTTTGCAAATGGGGTATTGTGTGTACTCTCCAACAACTTAATGCGGCAGTGTGATTTGCACTCTTATCCCACGGATTTGAGAACTGAAACTGGTAAATAATACATTCCTTGCCCAAAGTTTGTTCTCTAGAGGTGACAGTATTGTGATATGAACCCAAATTATTTGGGGTCTCCATAGATTTAAATACATCTGATGGATGATGGACTATATTTTGTGTCATTGAAGAATAATGGCAAGAATGTAAAAATGCAACTTAAATTTTGACTTATTTAAATAACTAGTGATTTTGAAGAAAGCAGAACCATCTCAGAAGCATGTAAGCATTCCTTTGAGTGTGACTTGACCAGTACCAATTTTTGTTCACTTTTATAAAGAAAATAACATGATCCTTTCATTTTCTAAATTTAGAGCAAAATTAATCCTGTTAGAAATGGAAATCTGAGTTGTAAATATGTATTAAAATTTTCAAACAGCAGAAGCTCACTGTGAGGAAAAAATGAGATAAATGAAATCTAAATTCTTAACCAGCGATTTCAATTAAAATTGACCTAATATGGAGAGTTATTTGGTCAAGATATGCCCTCCTTGTACTCCAGCCAAACAGACATGAAACTTGGTGCTTAGAGTGGATCGTTCACTAAAACTCTGAATTCTGGGTTTTTGGAGATTTCAGATCCCTTCCCTGACTTGTTAGGGCTTCCAAGTCTACCTGTTGTAGAAAAAAAAGGGGGAAGTGCTGAATCCAGGGCAAAAGCTTTTTAGTCTCTGTTGTCAGGTTCTCAAAGAGATCAGCAGTGGCTCAGGTTCTGAAAGAGTCTGTTTAACACACAGCTCTTGGGGAATGGTGAAAAGGCAATATGATAACCTGCTCTCTGCTCTTCCTGAGCTTTCCAGGCCCATGGACAAGCGCTTGAACAATTTCCTTGAACATTCTACTCACTCAAGCACCACCATCACTGAAGGTTTAAAAAAAAAAATCCCAGTTTAGACTCACTAATTAGAATGTGATCAGCCCATGAGCTTGATCAATACCTGAACCTTCTTTCAAAGGTGCTTATGACTAACTCCCTCTCTCCTGGAGCTTCCAAAGGGTCTTTGGAGAAATATCTCTTTGGGAAGCTCTCCCAGCCATGCAGACCCTTTGCCTTCCCATGGTCAGGCCCCTAGATCCAAGCTCCC